AGACGGGGAGCGAGGCGGGGCTGATGGGCAGCACGGCGAGCGGGCCGACGAGCAGCAGCGGCTACCCCGCGTCCATGTCCATGTCCGCGTCGAGCCCCGTCTCACAGCACTACCCCGGCGCCGGGGGGTACGCGGCGTCGAGCGCGGGTGGGAGCTCGAGCGGCGGCGGGTACCCGAACCCGATGGGCGCGAAGCAGCGCGAGGCGCTCGGGCTGGGCGTCGCGAACCCGTCGCCCCACCCTAGCCAGGCGGGCGGCTCGGGCGCGGGCGCGATGCACATGCCGATGCCCGCGCCCGGGCCGCTCGGCGCGCTGCCGAATCCGCACTCGCCGCCGGAGAGCGGGTCGGGGGTCGTGGTGCACCAGGACGGGGGGCGCGCGCCGGACCAGGGGAACGGGGACGAGATGCGCGAGATCCCGCCGACGTACGACAGTATCCGGTCGTGAGCGCGCGCCGCGGATCCTATGCTTACCGATACCGAGCCCCTTCCTACTTACTTACACCATGCACCCCTCCAAAACCGCTAGACGATACCCCCTGCCCGCTTCTTGCATTTCATTCCCATTTATTTGCATCTAGCATTTACATCCGTTTGCATCTAGCATCTACACCCCCTTGCACTTGGCTTTGCTACACTACTTACTAGTGCATTCGTACACTACGCTATTACAGAACTATTGGCTCGGGCCTGCGTTGTAGTAGTATGGACTGACTGACTGACTGACTGGGTATGTAGAATGAATGAAGGAACGTACTAATTGCTTGTATAATGTGTAATACCTTGCCCATTTCTTCCCTGACGGGGGCTAACAGAGCGAGCTGTTGCCACCGATTGCGTCCTGTCCAGCTCTGCTCATGCAAGATGTAGGCAAGCCCATATATCGCAGGAAGCATATCCCACCACGCGTGTCGCTCCGCGCCGTGTGATCTTGAGTACGCCTCGGGGCACAGGTCCCCGAGAAAGTACCCACCCCCCCTATTCTCCTCCCCATGGCCATGATCATATGTATTGGTCGTGTTGGTCGTGTTGTGATTTTTTTGGGTAACAGAAGGAAGGAGTGATAGCAAACGGAAAGAATAATATGAGGCTACGATAGCGGTATGTACAACTGCAGCAGTGTGGTATAGCGATGACGGGAGGAGTGGACGATACGCGACAAGCACAAGTAGATAAAGCTGCTAACACAGTAAGCTGTTGCCGATCGCGGCGACCTTCATCTTTTTCAACTCCGCCCAGGAAGGCAGCTGGTACATACTCGGGAGCGCGTCCCAGAGCTTTTGTCGCGCTTCCGCGTGTGCCCTCTTCAGCAGGTTGAGGCATTTGGGGCACAGGTGCCAGAGAAGGGACTCCAAGTCATCCACCTCCCCCTGTATGTTGAGTGGGGTGGGAGAGCTGTCGTGGATCATTTCCCGGCTATCCTCGATTGCCTGCAGTCGCACTCGATAGCAGTTGAGTTGGGATGAACAGCCTTTGATGTCCAAATGACGAGTGAAAATTTTTGCGATATCCTTCGTTGCAGCTCGGGTTTGGATGGCGTGCCCTTGTAAAAAGGAGCCCTCGTCCTGGACAGACAGGGTTGTGGGAGCGCCGTCGTAAACCCCGCCGCTGGAAATTTCCCCGGCGATAACGTTGGGGAAGCAACTCGAGAGGCAGTAGAAGGCGTGAGGGAGCACCCAAAGTGCGTCGACCTCGCGGGCAAGATGGATGGCATAGATATAGAAGCCTGTGCGGGCCTTGTGGGAAATCGGCCATGACACAATAGTCTCCGATGGACGTTGCCCTCGGCTAGAATCCCCGGACGAGCTGGAGTCGAATTCAGCCAGCGTGGTACGGTATCGCGAGGACAAATGGATGAGGGCGCGGCGACGAAGGTAATCCACCTCGTATTTGTGGCTGAGGCGGAGACAGCCGACAATGATATCGAAGGTCGTTAGGGCTGGGAAGGGTAGAAAGTACCTAGGACAGCAGGACTCCCGTGAGACCCGCGTTATAGAGACAGCGAAGAGGCGCATACTCGGGGAGAAAGACAGCTTTCAAGAAGTGTGTGGCCTCGTTTTCAGCGTCTGCATCACCAAATCTGGAAAAATCAGGTATTGCCCCGGTAAGGATCACGATCCCATCACAATTATTGCGAGGCTCACAATCGCTTATAACCGCTCACAACCATCAAACAATTGTTGTGAGGGCATCGTCTGCGGCATATAATTGTCGTGAGTGGATCGCGAGTCTATATAATTATTGGTGAGCTCGCGATGCCTTCCGAGCGAGTAACTACATTATATATCTATGAAACCCTCATCGGCAAACTGGAACTCCTCGTCCGACGCGTACCCCTCAAGCTCGCCATCATCACCCTCATCCTCGGCATCCGATTGAACATCTTCGTCGCCACCGTCGTCATCCATCGCATCGTCAGAATCCTCAGCGCCCGGTACTTCCTCAGGCTCGTCCTCGGGAGGATCCTCTTCATCGGCCACAGGAATGTCGACTACCTCCGGCGGCGGAATGTCTGCGCCTGCGTCCGTTTCATTCTCGTCAGGGAGCCCGTTGAGATCCGCATCGTCCTGACCCAGCCAGACTGACTCGCGGTGTGCTATATGGCCGGCCGCATCACCCAGGTATCTCATGAACATGTCGCGGTCAACCCATCTGAAATAAAGATTAGCCATCGGCGTTGCAAGAAGAATGGCGCGCACATTATGACATAGAAATTCTCCCAGTCATCCTCTTCACCCGGGGCGCGCGCCGAGGAGGCTTGACCCGGCAGAAGACTGAGAAGGGCTGTTGTACGGATCCCCGCGAACTCTATATCGCGTTGTCGACTGCCTAGGCTAGCCAATTCTGGACGGCGGGTCAAGTGAGCAATATATTTATGGCACCATTCAGAGGATACGCACGGCTCGGGGACGCTGATTTCCCGGAGATTTTGAAGCACGGGAAACACGTCTTGCACCTGCGCCCATCCTCCAAGTGGCGTACTTGGTGCATGAAGTGCGGTGACGAGTCAAGCCCCTTGTCGAGTCAGCGGTTTTGTTACAGGTCGCACAACAGGCATAAAGAGCCATGAGGAAGATGGCCAGTAGAGCGAGAAATTTCATGGCGCCTCAGCGCAAGGAACGTGGGGCGAAAGAATCCGTGTATTCCATAGTAGTAGTACTCGGTAGGGTTACGCGTTATTTGCATCTCTTTGCTGCACCAAGCCGACACAAACATGCCAAGTGGACAAAGCCACGGCGACGAAGATAATCCACTTCGTACTTGTGGGCGAGGCGAACGCAGCCAGCGATAATGTCCAAAGTTGTGAAGGCCGGGAATGCCGGTAAGTACCTGAGACTCCAATGAGACGCGCGATACTTAGAGACGGCAGTGCGGTAATAATATACGGGTTTCGTAAATCGTTGATGCTCGATTTGTGCTTATCTCTGTTTATGAAAGTGTCATCGGCTGGAGCGGCTCCACACTGCCGTAGGCAGCCGTACACTGTGTTCCTGCTCGCATTACGGTACAACTCACAGGCCATTCAGCATGGATGGCCGACTCGTCGTCTTCAATCTTGTCAGAATGTGCATAATTGTGGCCCTGCGAAGTCCAGCGAGGTTCCACAAAAGACCAACACCATTCGGCAGTGGCTCGGAGTGTGGAGCCGAGGACGCAACAGCAAACAGACATAAACTAAAATTGAGCATCAACGATTTACGAAACCCGTACATTATTCACAACACAGCTGTAAGTATTTGATCGCAGCACATTCACGTTGCAGAGCTGGCAGGCTTGGAGCCCGAGTTCTTGGGAGTGCAATATAATTTATTTGAAAGCAATCCGTCGAACACGTAACTACTACTGTACTATTTCAACCAAGTGTTCAAGTCACAGGTCACAGCGCTGCCTGAACTGAACATTTTTTTTATTGGTCACAGGTCCCGGGCCTTTTGGATCGAGGTTCTCAAGCAAAGTGGTCAATTTTGGCGCCGGAAAACCCCGAAAAATCGCCCCAAAAGGCAATTTGAACATTTGCAAAATGAACACTTGAGGTCACAGGTCACACCCAGTGAACACTTGGTTGAAATAGTACAGTAGTATTTATGAACGGATGTATTGATTGTATTGCGATTTTCTTTGGATAATAGGAAACGGAAAGAACAATGCGAGTCTAGGACAGCGGTACAGCGGAAGGAGTGGAGTATAGTGATGACGGTATGAATGGAGTGAAATGCAGTGGACGATACGTTACGTCGGGAAATAGAGACCAGTACAAGTAGATAAAGCCGAGGATGAGCCCGAAGAACGGGCAACAGGATGTTGTGTCATTTTTTAAGGGCGGAACAAGGAGGGGAAACTGCATGAAAGATTCAACGGAAGGAAGGCAGAGTAAAGTTCAATAAACGGGATTAGTGATGGAGCGGTGCGAAGTGAGGATGTTGTACGGAGTAGAGAGTGTTTCAGGGCCGGGAGAAATACAGAAAAAAGCTGGAAGCGCCCAGGAGCGCGTCGAATATTCTAAGATCCTCCCGCAAATTTCACGTGTCCGATGATGAGCACTCGGGAAAACGCCGGGACCAGTTGAAAATCGGTAGTTTTTTTGGTTCGACTGCTGGTTGCTGGATACGATGCACGGTTCTTGCATTTGAATGAGACGCCATGGAAGAAATTCACTCGCAATTGTATGCACGGAGAGTTTTGTGAGCAGCACTGCATTAAAAATTTTGAGGCTTCAAGTTGCTCCACATCAGTGTCCGGATCCAATTCAACCAGTCCTTCAGCCTTCGAGGTTCCGCCGACCCTTTCCGTACCAAAAAGAAATCGACAAGGAATCAGGATAATGCGAACGCGGGGAGTCGAACCCCGTTCTGCGGCTCTGCCCTTAGAGTACGATCCCTTCCCATAATTGAGGGCCATGCACCGTACACTACATCCGAGTTATTCCTCTCTACCCAACCTTGTGTTTACCTAAGGATTTCGTGGCTTGGTACCAAAAAAACACTTCTCACCTTAGTCGCAATTCGAACGCGGGGAGTCGAACCCCGTCCTGCCCTGAGATTCAATTCTTTCTGTTCTATAACGCAGGGCCGTGCACCGTACACCACGTTCGAGTTATTCCCTGATATCCAGCCTTAATTTCACCGAAAGATTTCGTGACTCCATATCAAAAAAAAATCGTCGCGTTAGTCGCTATTCGAACGCGGGGAATCGAACGCCGTCCTGCGCTTGGACTGATTGTCAGATGAAGCATTTCCTCAACAAACATACTTCCTGATTCGAACACGGGGAATCGAACCCTTCCTGCCCACAGAAATTGTTCACCCTCACACCCTCACATTATATACCACATTCGAGTTCCTTCCTCTGTACCCCAGCCTTACTTTCACAAAGAATTTCATGGCTTGGAAAATAAAAAAAGAGCTCATACGCCCGCAAAGTCGAAGACTGGGAGTCGAACCCCGTCCTGCCCATGAATTGTGTCGTAGTGCCTCTATAAATTAGGGCCGTGCACCGTACACCATGTTCGCTTCCTGCCTCTGTACACAGCCTTGCATTTACCGAAGGATTTCGGGCATCGACCAAAAAAAAAAGTGGATCTCACCAAGTCATTCGAACCCGGGGAGTCGAACCCCGTCCTTCCCTTGGATCCTCCTATACCGACGTATAATTCAGGGCTGTGCACCATACACCACATTCGAGTTCCTACTCTGTACCCAGCCTTCTTTCAACAAAATATTTCGTGGACTTCACCGAAAAACAAACTGGATCATGCCAAGTCATTCGAACGCGGGAGTCGAACCCTGTCCTGCCCTTCGACTCAATAACACTCCTTTAATATAGTTCAAGGCTGCGCACCGTACACCGGTTGGCTTCTTTCCCTTGTACGCAACCTTCCTTGTACCATTTCGTGGGCTTGGTATCAAAAACACCGCGTCCTCAACGTATTCGAACGCGGGGAGTCGAACCCCATCCTGCCCTGGAAAACATGTTCCTTATTATAATTCAGGGCCGTGCACCGCACACCACGTTCACTTCCTTCCTCTGTACGCAACCTTCCTTTTACCAAAAGATTTCACGGCTTCGTATAAGAAACACTTCTCGGCTTGGTCGCTATTCGAACGCGGGGAGTCAAACCCCTCCTGCCCTTGAACCCACGACAATCGAATATAAACTAGGGCCGTGCACCGTGCACTACGTTCGACTTCTTCCCTTGTGCCCAGCCTCCTTCCTGGTTTGGTACCAAAAAACAAACTGCTTGTGTTAGTCGCCATTCGAACGCGGGGAGTCGAACCCCTCCGGCCTTTGAACTATCCACTATTTTCTGATCAATTGAGGCTGTGCACCGTACACCACGTTCGGTTCCTTCCCTTGTACGCAACCTTGTTTTTACCAAAGGATTTCATAGTTCAGCACAAAAAAGTGATTGTCCTCGGCATATTCGAACACTATTCGAATGCGGGAATCGAACCCCTTCTGTACCTGTCAGACGCGTAGATTGATACAAAGGATGCTCTTTTATTTGATGTCCAGCCGCCGCTCTCCAATACTTCCTACTTACTGTGGTTGAAATCCTGCAATATATTTCATTGCTAGCAGTCTTCATTGCTGGGTTCCAAAAAAGTCGGAGCAGATACCGTGCGCGAAAGCAGAACACGATCAAGTACATCGTGCAACACGGCAGAGGACCAGAGCCGCCAGTTTACGCAATGTACTACTGCCATCATGTACATCATCGTTTATTTTCGCAGTTGGGAATATGCCACGAGACCGAGCCTCCCGGCACTCATGTGGTCAACAGCGGCAGATGTCGGACGCGCAGATCTGGGATAGTTTAAAAATGGGAATGGTGGTTTGTACCCGGCTGATATTGCTGCTAGTCAAAATTATACACAGCAGCACAAACCATTGTCGTCAAGTGAACATATATCAAACACAGGCAATAAAACGCCAAGAGTCATAAATGAGAACAAATTAGTGTAACGCTATGAACATAGTAAGCGAAGTCTGAGAACCAGCAGAGAAAAAGAACGCACAGATGGTCACTGCTCCTAACCCACCAAATTGGTGCCGATGGCAGCGACCTTCAAAGATTCCAATTCCTCCCATTTAGGCAACCCATACATGCTCGGTAGCTTGTCCCAGAGTACCTGCCGTGCCTCCTGGTGTTTCTGCTTGAGAACGGCAAGGCAGGTCGGACACATCCTCTCGAGGACTGCCCAGTCATCCAAGTCCCATGTATTGAGTGGAATACAGGGATTCAGAGCAAGCGTCTCTCGGAAATATCGGAATGCGTTGAGACGCTCCTCCATGCAGATGGCGGGCGTGCAACAGCCCGGGATTTCAAAGGAATCAAACATGAATCCCATGATTTCCGTCATCGTAGCGCTCTGTTGGAGGTGGTAGCCACGTAAAAACCTTTGCTGATCTTCCCTAGACAAGTTGACCGGAACACCTTTATAAAGCCCCCCGTGAAAAATCTCCATGCCGCCATTTTTGAACGAAGCGGCCAGCAAATGAAACGCATAGGGGAGGATCCAGAGAGCATCGACTTCACGGGCAAGGAGAATGACCATCATAGCGGGAGTGGGGGCCATCCATTGTCGATTCCACGATATCCACTCCAATGTTAGGACATCGCTATCACTGGCATCGGTAGCGGCCAGAGTCGTGCAATATCCCGAGGAAAAGTGAACAAGAGCTCTGCGCCGTAGATAGTCCACTTCATATTTGTGACTGAGCCGCAGGCAGCCAGCGATGATGTCGAAATCTGTTTCAGACGGATACGACATGAAGAACCTATAGCAGTGATTGGAAAATTTAAGACATCGATAAGCACTTAGTGATTGACTTACGACGAGTCAAAAATTACCTTGAGAAACACGGTGACATCCGTCGCAGAATCGTGGAGCCGTACGGCAGGGCAGCCTTCAACGAGTTCCGCATCTGGGGGCTGCGGGAATGAAAGCATGTCCTGGAATACCGGCGAACGTGCGGCCAAGACGCCGCGATGCACGCGGAACCGGCTTGTCCCGGCCTGGATGATGAGGTTTCCGTCCTCGAACCACAACTCCTGTACGTGCTGGGGTGCGCTTGGTTCGACCTCCATGATGGACGGAAAGAGGCGCTCCCGGCAAGCGCCGACGTGTCAGAATCACAACTCCGACATCAGACGATCAACGAGCAGTAAAATCAATGCAGAATTCCGCGAAAATTCAGAACTTATTCTGCTCGAGTTGAACCGCGGTTGAGGAAATTGCGATGGACCGGGTTACTTATCCCTACGCCTGGTCCAGATCTGAATTTAACTTCCTGGCATCTTTAACTGGGAAGTCGGACTCTGTTTACTCGACATTGCAACATCGATATTACACTCCTTTGCTGCAGGCAGAATACAGAAGGTGCGAGCGCGAATATTTCGGTGAGATAAAAACATCTCCCGGTCCAACAAGTGTTAAATCACGCTTTGCTACTATTTTCCTGTGCCAGTCTTAGCGAGCGATGACACCTGGAAAATCCAAACCATGTACATCTGAACGCGACCAAATCTGCACAAAAGCTTCATATCTGGGTAAAACAGCATGTCGTTGTAAAATTTGATTGTGGCTCAGTGTGCGCCCCACCCGTAAAAAAGTACTACCGCTCTGAGATCTGGCCATTCGGTCACGGCCTCATTTATGCATTTCATCAGCCATTTTCCGAGTCCTTTGCCTTTGTAGGGGAGAAGGATGAACACATCTGTGAGGTAGGCGAGGGAGACGTAGTCTGTGACTAGACGGCGAGTCCGATTTGCACTTGTCCGGGAGTAGCTGGATCGCATGTGAACGGAGCTCATGACGCGGAGCTTTGGGTCGCTTACCAGGATCATCGGAGGCGATGTAAACGGCAAAGCAGAAGGAGCTTTCTAGCATCTTCTGGAGTGTGGTTGGGGAGAGACGGCACGTCCAGTACATGTAGTCGGACACGAACACATCGTTAATAACATCGGGCTGGAGAAGAGCGTGCGCGAAGTGCTGATGAGGAAAGTGTCCTTCCGCCATTCATGGGGGGCGCTCATCTTGGCTGCGAGCAAGTTGCGAGTGAGTCACGGATGATGGATCCGAGTCAAATCTCTTTTTGGGAAAGAGGCATTCGGAACCGCGGGCCGATATCCAATGGTCCATAGATTCGGTCAACGGCGCGAGGTACTTGAATGAAGCAGGTAGTACTTGATTAATCTCGAAAGCAAGCAATTATTTTGTTGGTTCCCATAGAAGTATGGCGGTCACCTTGCACATTTACAGCGAGTTGCAGAACTTAGGGCGCGGCCAAATTTTCTTCTATTTTGAGCTGTTTTTGATGGTTTTGACCAAATCCCTCGCCCTGAGCTCAATTCCTCGTGTATCTACATAAGTTTATATGGGCGGATTCGCGCTGCAATTCCACAGGAGGTGTGGCGCTCCGATTTCCTGTTTTATTATTTAAAAAGATGCAGTATATAATTTCGTAGTTTTGATCAGGTCCCCTCTTGTATGGGGAGACAATCTGCAAATAAGCTATATATTCATTCAATAATACCTTCGAGCAGTGTGAAGGGACCTCGTTGTCCGAATGTGATTCCTGAACCTCAGACACATAAGCAATGCTGTTGAATCCAAACATTTACAGTTTTGGTACCTGTTGCTTAGGACGGCTGCCCGCTACTGCTCTTTGACAAAGTGGGTGAAGGGCATGCACCTGCGCCCACTAAATCATACTCCAGAGGGTTCTTACGACTCATATTTTTTCTGTGCACCTCCGTCCGGCGACACGACGCGCCCCCAATACAGGCGATCAGTCACATGTATGTGAGTCACTCGTAACTGCCATATTGGGGGCATGTCGCCTCGCCGAACGGAGGCCCATAGCACAAATGTGAATTTAGGAACTCTTCGGGATATAATGTAGTGGGCGCAGTGCATGCCCTTCACCCACTTTGTCAAAGAGCAGTAGCGGGCAGCCGTCCTAAGCAACAGGTACCAAAACTGTAAATGTTTGGATTCAACAGCATTGCTTATGTGTCTGAGGTTCAGGAATCACATTGGACAACGAGGTCCCCTTCACACTGCTCGAAGGTATTATTGAATGAATATAT